AACGCAATGATCGATCGGTGATGAGGGATGTGACTTTGAAATAAAATGAATGCAGTAGTGTTAAAGATATCAGAAGAGGAAATAAACAGAAAGCCTAAAACTGAGCGTTGACTTTAATATGTGTTACATCATTTCAATTTCCCATAAACATTTAGTCTAATAAATCAAAAGACACTATCTTATTCTGGGTTATTCAATAATGAATTCACAATCAGAATCAATAAATATAAATGCAAATAATAGCCTATAAGTATTGTGCCAGTAGAAATGATCCTGTGCCTCTGAGCAAGACATACAGTAACCTATAATTATTCATGTGCAGGTGTTTGTTAAACAGAGAGAATCATGCTGCTATTAGTATCAACACAGTGGACATGTGTGCAGACACAAACTCCATCAAAAGTCTCTACAGCTGTTAGAGCCGACTGACAGCTGATCCCAGCTGGATCATCAGAAACGGACGTCGCTTCAAGTGATGCTTCGGGGAAAGGACGTCTCATGTCTCTAAAAACACGTTTCCTTGTTCCTTTCCTCGGCGGGACTAAGACGCAAGTGAGGTGGATGCAATTAAGAGACTTGAGAAGTACCCAGAATCTGATGACAGTTGGTGGGTTGCCAGGCGACTGTCAATCAAATCTGATCAAATCACACCTACACAGTTCTGACAAGGCAGATGTGCTCAGTTTTTGAGGGTAAAACTCTTAATAAATAATACCTAAATAACAGGCACCCAGTACAAGATCAATAGAGGCTGGGGTCTACCACACCAGGCAGGACCCCAGGTGCAGACTGTACAAGGATGCCCCTGAGAGAGTACAGCACATAAAAGCAGGGTGTAAGATGCAGGCAGTAAGTGCGTACATGGAACGCCATAACCAGGTAGCTGGCATAGTGTACAGGAACATCTGCCATGAGTATGGGCTGGAAGTCCCAAAGTCAAAATGGAAGACACCTCCTAAGGTAGTTGAGAATGACCGAGCTAAGATCCTGTGGGACTTCAAGATCCAGAATGATGGCTAACCAACCAGACATCGTGTTGATCAACAAACAGCAGAAGGCTGTAGCGATAGATGTGGCAATCCCAAGCGACAGCAACATCAAGAAGGAACACGAGAAGCTTGAGAAATACCAAGGGCTGAAAGAGGAGCTAGAAAAGATGTGGAGAGTAAAAGCAAAGTAGTGCCAGTGGTAATCAGAGCACTGGGGGCTGTGACCCCCAAACTGGGAAAGTGGCAACAGCAGATTCCAAGTAAAACATCAGAGGTCTCTGTCCAGAAGAGTGCAGACTAGGAACGGCTAAGATACTGCGCAGAATCCTCAAACTCCCAGGCCTCTGGTAGAGGACCTGAGCTTGAGGATGACACATACCACCATACAAGGCACGGCAAGGCAAGTTTATTTATATAGCACATTTCAACACCAAGGTAATTCAAAGTGCTTTACATAAAATATAAAAGCAACAGGGAAATATAAAAAAGTTTAAAATTTAAATGAAACAGTAACAGATCATTCCTTATAAATAATCTACTGCCAAAACATGGTAAGAGCGAGGAAGCTGCATCTACCACCTGCTCTCTTCAACTCTGCAGTACATTATTTCCTCCACGGGGGAAAGAAAGTATTATCCAAACATTAAGTACTGCTTGTTGCCTTGCTCTCTGTTAAAAAATGTATCCACAGGACTGTTGGACAGGAGTATTAAACTGAAAAGAGAAAGGAGAAAGATTTTTGTATACCACAATCACCATCTAATACCAGCATCAGCCCAGGATATTCTCTGCAATGCACATGAACAGAATATAAATATTAAAGGATATTTACAGAAATTACAGATGAATCTAGGCCTGAGTGGGTTGAAACATTTAAAAGGTGAATCATACATTTTTATAAAGCTATTAGCTTTATAAAAATGTAAATCAGAAGCGTTACACTTGATGAACATGACTCAGGCTATGAGGCCCACAGGGTTTTTCATGCGCATCATGACAAAGGTCTGCCTGATTGCGAGATGCAAACTGCACCGCGGGGGGCTCCAGGGACGGTGGTTTGTGTGGGGGGGTGAATTAGGTAAAAATGCGAGATCTGAAGAACACATTTAGGCATGATTCAGCTCCCCATTGGCTTAGGAGACTACTTCTATCTGATAATCAGTAAATCCACATGGTCCCATGCAACAGCTCAGGTCTAAACATTTCTAGTGCAAAAGAGTGAAAAAAATGTAAATTATGCAACAGTGACACCTGTGGGGACAACAATATGTTAAAGTCACTTACCTGGCACCTTGATGATATTTTACAGTATATTTGCTCTCTTCCCTACTTTGTTCTGCAGCTGCTGCACAACAATTTCCCTTGGGATGAATAAAGGCCTTGGGGTTTTGGACAGCCATCTGTTTCTTCTCTATATTTACATTGCATTTCATGTTTTTCTATCGTGCAGGTAAACCTTTCTCATAGAATTTTATTTGTTATTTAACATTTCTTGTTGCAAGCTAATTTTCAGAAAACTTTCAGCAAGTGCTTTCAAAAAGTGATGGGGACAAAATCAGCCATTTCAAAAAGTGGTGGGGACATGCCCCCAGCGTCCCCAGTGTAAATGACATCTATGCTTTAGACCTGCTACTCGTATCTGATTTTTTCTCGAATGTCTTAATTTGGTGGATATGCGTAGAAATGACCAAAAAGCTCCCGGCTCCTCATCCCTATCCTGTAACACGCTCTCACATTCTCAATGCTGGCTCTGCAGGTAGCACCTGCAGTTAAATTCACTGTTAAGTTCATTTACTGGCCGGTGCCTATCCATCCTTGACAAAAATTGCACGTTTACTAGGAAACAAAATCAAATAACCTCCCCTGGCTAAACGATCAGACTCCAGCCCTTAAAAGATTATCTATGTTGAGCCATCCAAAAAAATGCCTCTTTTACCCAGTTTCAACCCATAACAATTTCAGTGTTAGAGAGACAGAGAGAGTACAGACTTCCATATAAAATCTTCCTCCTGCATGCTAGAGATCATCCCCACTATGCTGCTCAAAGTGGTATTTCCCACTTTTAGACCTGTTATCTCACACATTTAAAAACAATTCTGGCCTCTGGTTCTTTTCCTGACAGCTTTAAGCACACTATTGTTCACCCATTGCTAAACCTAATCTGGACCCGCTGTCCTTAAGTAATTATAAACCAAACTCCAAATTGTCTTTTTTATCTAAGGCTCTGGAGAAAGTTATCAAATCTTAACTGATATTATCTTTTATTAATAACATAAAATAATGCTTTAAACTGTTTCCAGTCTGGGTCTAGAGCACTGCACGGTACAGAGACAGCTCTTGTTAAGATAACTAATTACCTACTGCTGTCTGCAGACAGAGGTGACTGTTCGATTGTAGTTCTTTTAGATTTGGGTGCCGCATTCAATGCAGTCAATTATGGTATCCTCTTAACTTGTTTAGAGACTTGGGTAGGAATCAAGACCCTGTCTCTTGATGACACTCAACCCACAGATCCTAGCTGCTTAAGTAGTCTCACAACCTGCCTCTCTGATTTTAAATCCTGGATGTCCCAAAATTTCCTTAAATTTAACGATGATGAGCCTGAGGTAATTCTGTTCGGTCCCCCAAATTCCATCAGCTCTTCTGGTGCTAATCTTCACGGTCTATCAAGTAATATTAAGCCAAGTCAAACGTGCTGTTCAGTCATGTTTCTTCCAGCTCAGGATAATCTTTAAAATTAGGTGATTTTTTTCAATTTGTGATTTACAAAGTTCTAGAGTTCTAATTACTGCAACACACTTTATTCAGTATTCAGTTTTAAAACGCAGACTTTCAGTAACAGTTTCCCCGTTGTCGGCCCATGCAAAAAAAATCTCTGGTGTGGTACTTTCTTCTTTCACCAAATCTTCTGCAGCTGCGGAGTAGACAATCTGCTTCCTGTTTACGCCTGCACATGCATGCCATGTGTACGTGAACGGCCACTAGATGTGCATTTTCAGCCGTTTTAACATAGACGGAGATCAACTCTGATACGTAGCTACAATGCTTTTAAACAAAAAGGTAGAAGTGTAGATGTAGCCTAAGTCTCTAGCTTCGGTTAAATCTCTACTTTTTCTCTTTGTGAAAGAAGAGGAAGAAGAAGAATCATCATCATCATCATTATAATAATAAGAATCATCATCATTATTATTATTATTTTATTTTTGAGGATGAGGGAGCAATTAATAAATTTGACCTCAAACACATTCTTTGGAAATGTGTAGTAAAAAAAACAAAAACTAAAATAATCTTTATCCATGCTACAGTAGTGGCATAGCATATTATGACTCCTCAAACCACAGAGACTGACTAGCTCATCAAATGCATGTGGCAAATATAGAATAATGAGGTCAGCTAACTCGAAGAAATGAATGTAATGAGGCTGGCCTATTTCCTCGCTACATCCATCCACCATTTGAGTGTGTACAAGAAAAAAAAAAACATTCTTACAACATAGAAAGCAGTGCCATAATATTGCGGCCTGTGTGTCACTGTGTATTAGGGTGCTTCACAGTGATGTGAGGTAGGAGGACCGTGGAAGTAAAGCAGTTTGAGAACAACTAAGAATGGGCAAACAGAAACACTGCCAGCATGCCCTGTTGGCTGTCAGTTTCTCTGGCTTCTCTGACTAATAAAATTCAGCTGCAAAGCCCTCTAGTGGGATCTACTACATCTATATTTATGAGCTTCAGTTAATCTACATGCTTATCTACAGTATGTAGCCTATGTATCTAAGTTTATCACATTAATCCAACAGAAAATAATTTTTCAGTAACTTCTGAAGTGAGAAGGAAAGAGTCTAAGTCTCTGCAGAAAACCTCCTCTTTGTGAACTGTTTGTGCTCCTGACAGCAGCCATCCGGATCCCAACACAAGGGATTAAAATGATTTGCTCAGGCACGGTTTAGCCTTGTTTTGGCTTTTGCAGACACGGAGTTGAATTTGGGATAAAGAGGGAGGGGGGTCGGCTTACTACTCCATATGCGATGGTGTCGCTGTACATCCTCATCTCAGGGTAGATGTTCACCAGGTACCATCGGAAGGTTTTACACTGCAGCCTCTTCCTCAGAGCCTTCCTCTCAGAAATATCGCCAATATCTATCCCTGAGTCCTGGGTTAAAGCAAACAGCCAGACACAGAGAGAGAGAGAGAGAGAGAAACACACAGATGCACACAAAGCATAAAATTGATTAACTGTGGCTTGTGGAGAAGCAAATCAGATAATGGGCCATTGAGGAGCATTGTGAAGTCATTTGTTGTGTATTTGAATAGCTTCTATAGGGTTTGATTTTTTTCCTGTTCTGCCTTGAAAACCATCTACTGTACTATTCCAGCTGCCACATTACATAACCACACTCACAGTCAGTCTCATGTTACCACTGATGGAAGGTAGATTTATTCAAGAACTGTACTTTTAGGTACCATTTTATGCTACTCAGAACCCCATTTTACTACATTTCAGAGGCAAATGTTGTACTTTTTACACCACTACATTGATCTGGTGACTGTAATTACACATAGAAAAACACAATAAGCTTATAAAATACAATACATTGTTAAGATTAAACCAGTAGCTTCCAACATATATTGTCTTAAATTTGAAAGGCAATGTTTTTGCGACTTGTTATGTATAAAGTTGTAGTCGGTAAGAATTGAACGTACACTGCATAACACTGTATTAGAGACTGCTCCTTGCTCTGATTGGTTGTTTTGTTCAGGGAGTGGTGGATTCTTGCAAATGACATTAGGAGCAGTAGGAGAAGCCAGAGGAACCTGATTAAAAAACTTTTTAAATTTTTTTCTTTTCTTTTTTTCTCATGTACTACTGTCAAGATTTAGTGACAGTTTTAGCAAATATGACAAAATGCTATTCTTAAAATAATTCCTTACTGCAGCTTTAAAATGTCAAAAATGTTGAGTTGTTAGCAGTTCCACAAAATAGACATTTCCCTCTAAACTGATCACATTGCTACATATAAATAACAGTTTGAGGCCCTTTGTGACCCTTTGGAGGGGACCAACCCTGTTGGAAACCAGTGGACTAAACTACCAAACTGTATATAAACTGTAACTCCACCAGGGCCAGCTGGTATCAGTAAAATGCTGCTTACACGTTGATGTCTCAGTAACAATGTAATCATGTCATATGATACATAGAGGCAGATTCTATGAATGAACACTTTTACTTTACCTTACCTTAAGTACATTTAGCTGCTGATAATTCTGTACTTTTACTTAAGTGTGAATTTAAATACAGTATTTTTTTTTACAGTGTGTTGTTGGCACTTTTACTTAAGTAAAGGGTCTGAGTACTTCTTACAATCTGCCCCATGTTTAGCACTGGATTTCACCTTACGTCACTGATGCCTCCCTTTTATAACTCAAAAATGTTCTCTAGCACTCAAAAACATCAACAAGTGGACTCAGACGGGTGCAGACGTAATATGAACATTGGCACCATGTTGATTTTTACACTCTCAGAGGTAAATTAACACTGACAGTTTTGCTGTGTAGTTAATTCATGGGGCTAAAGCTGGGGCTAAATTTCATGCTTCTTGAGTACAGACTCTGTTAAATGGCTCATTATTGACTGAATGAATTGCCTGCAGATGTTCATCTATTCATAATGTGGATTTACATATTCAAACAGATTATGCGGGAGGAGAAAAAAGCTTCAGTGAACAAACATTTGACTTCGCCTTTGAGGGATGCTACATTTAACATAAGTTGACAGTGCAATAATTTATTTAAATTTACTGAATCCAGTTCAAGATCGAATAAAAATATTTACATTCTAAAAACACTGAAATATAACACTACAATCCCAAAAACACAAGACAACATGTAGCATATATGGTTTGTATCAGGTAGATTCATGATGATTGTGCAAACTGTGAGACATTTTGTAAAAATATTGAGTTGATGACACTGCAAATGTCTTATATCAAATAATACATTAAAGTCTCAAATAAAAACATTAAAAAGAATAAAAATACACATTGGAATAAAATAAATTATGTATATCTATATCTTTGTACTTATTTTTTCTCTTTGTATTATATTATTATTATTATCATCATTATTTTCCTCTAAAGTCAAAGCTGTAATCCAGATATTTTCTTTAACTCATCAATGTTATTGTTGTTGTTTGCACTGAATTTTCTTGATGCTAATGTCTCAGTTTAGACCATTTTATTTAATCACATTAAGTATTTATTTATTCTGTTGCACGTATTTAATTCAGGACATTCTGTATGTGACAAGAAATAATCTAATCTGAGCACTCTGCAGGTGTCAGGGGCCTGAGTCAACTAAACATCTGTGATGGGAGGAGAACAGCTGATAACAGATGACATTCAACACTGCACATTTTCTTCTGTGTTTGTGCATCTGACTTCTGTATGAATGCTCCCTTTGAATTTTGACAACATCAAATCCTGCATACAGGTAATATTAAAACTGCAAATCAAACAATGCCTGGTACTCTTTTTGTTGTTTCTACATCTATACTGCAACATGTTATAAATACAATAACACTTATATACTGTAAAATGCTCACTGGTGATTACTGATGCAGAGGTGTTTTCTTCCTTTTCTGCACACATATGATGTCTAAATGGCTCTGCTATCTGTCAGTTAGGTCTACAGCCAGTTCTATAGCTGACATCTGACAACTAAAAATTAGGACACGTGTACATCCTGAGGATTGTGTTAAAATCATCCACTGTTTCATCTCAGCTGTCTTTAGAGCTGCTAAACTGACTCTGCTTTAAGAAAAAGTGTTTCAGGGGTATATTTTCCTCTTCAGTTACTCAGATTAAGGCTTGTGGTTTCTGTTTTTTCCACTTGTCAACAAAAAATAATCACATATTGGTTTAATGTAATATACTGATTTTTACCCAGATTATATGTCAATAATCTCAATAATCGCAATATGACTTTTTCTCCAAATCGTGCAGCCCTAGTTCAGAGCAGTAAAAAAAGCACAGCATAGAATCCTCTTCAATTCAAACAGAGTCAAGATAAAAATGGCAAATGCTGTGGGAATCTTAGTAGCATAGTGGTTAAGACGCATGACATACAACTTAAACCTCTCATTCCATTTCCTGTTTGCATATCAACTGTAACCCATTAAGTAAAGGCAAAATGCCAAAAACAAAGTCTGTTATGTAACAAATTGGCGAATCCAAATGAGCTTTGAGTCCCTCAAAGTGATAATAAAACAGCTGAACTGCTAAGTGGTTGTGTTGCAATGTATTTTTAAAACATGATTTTCACACAACTTTTGTTATTGAAAATTGGATAATATGTGGTTTTGTTCAGTATTCAAAATAAACACACATACAGTCTCAGAAAATATTGTGATCTGCGAATTTCACAAAAAAAACATGACTGACATGATCACTCACCTCCATGGGAATGTTCCATGCCATGTAGACATGGCTTTTAAACTCGTCCATCCAAACTTCTGCAACTCTGAGGGCGTTTCGCCGCACGTGAGACGTCAGATCCTCAGTGTAGGGTTTGTGAGCACGCTCTATATGGGCGATGCGAGCGCAGGGCAGAACCTCAACACTGCCGCCACACTGCCACACCTGGTTTTAAACATTGCAAACGCAAAGAAAAGAGAAAATGTGTAATTCACCTACACAACAATAGCCTTGCAATGAGTCTGCTTTCCTTGTTAAAGTTCAGTTAAAAATGTTCAGTTGTGGCCTCAAAGTAAAAAAAAGTTACAATACACACACGCACAGACTTCAATACTTGAAACCACAGCTGTCCCAAAGGCTGCACCGATATAGCTTTGACATCATGCACCTGATGTCCATGTTAGCTACAAGTTAGTCCTTCTTTGGAGCAGTGAAATAATGTATGAGGTTGACTTTATAAACACAAAACCCAATTCCTCGTGCTGCCAGGAAACTCAAATCTTATGACAAACACATTTTCACCACTGACTTACTAACTTGATGAAAAATGACAAAAAAAATTTCTGTGTTAAGAACATTTTCCACTGTTCTATTTATATCATATGTCAATCTATTAATTTACTTTAGACACCCTTGTTTCTGTACTCCTTTAGTATCTCTGGTCTGATGCGGCATCAGACTTAAAAATGGGCTGTTACTCAGGCTGGAGAACATTTGGGGGATCACTATGCATCAGGCCACGATGGCATCATTTCTATGCTGCTAAAAGCCCAATTTGGCCAACAAGCAGAGGCCCTTTATCACCTCTCCAGCCTACTGTATCTTTCACTGTGAAGAGTCGTCCCCATGGTGGAAAATGTTAATGTCCGAGTGCCCAAGAGGAGAAGCCTGAGTCCTTGATGACTCAAAACCAGTGGCACTAACTGCTCACATAATGAAGACCTCTGGGAGCCCCAAGACCCTGGTGCAGGGATCTCTGGTGTGGTGCTTACATCCAGCAAATGAGGACTGGCAGTGATAACGGATTCCTTCATGAAGACTAAATATTTTGTTAAATATATCTTGTGTACATGTAATGGCACTTTCTGTAATAGTTTTGCAGCATCATATGCATTTGTCAGTTTTTAGATTGTTCAACATTATGTTATCAGATTATTCAGATCTCTGTATACACTGCATGCAGCAAAAAACAAAGAAACCAAATGCAGTTCCTACACACAGTATATTTCTAATCAAACATGCAATCAAGCACTGAAATGGTTGGTTTTGGTAATTTATGTAAACCCACTCAATTTATATTCTTATTTACATTATTTCTTGTATTCATTAACAGCCCTAATTACCCATTAGTTATTAACATTTCAATTTATTTAGTATTTTTTTAATTAACATTAATACATCAAAAAGGATATGAATTTCTGAGTTACAAAAACTGGAAAAGATCTACATGAGAATTAAAGTTTGGAGGGAAATGAATTAGACCGTACAATGCTGCTGATTAGTATCGAATGGTATTTCAAAGCAATTCAAAGACTTCACCAAAGCATTGAAGATGTGCTCTTCTGTTTACATGCTCACATTTGTATGGAGGCCTAACTACCACAGCCTGTGGAGGATGCTCGGAATTCACTTCAATGTGCTGAGCTTCACATTATTCCAGGACACCCGGTGTTTCAGTATGAATATGGTTGAAATAAGGTTGACATCCTCACGCTGTGCTGTTACGTGAGAACCAAATAGCACAGCTGACATGCTTCTAGTGTTAAAGTTAAATGTGTAATTTCCATAAAAATACCACTGCCAAAGAACACACACTGTTTGGTGCAGATGAGCATCCTTGAGGAAGAGCAACAAACATCAGATGTGACAAAAATTGTGATTGGGACTTATGATAGGAGGAGAAGAGCTGTTTTTTGTATTTCTTTTGCAGCAGTCAACACTGAACCTGTTGGAGGTCCCACAATTAGAATATACAGCTGGCAATTAGCTGAGCTTTATTATACATACTGATCAGACACTGTATGGATTTATACACACAATTATGCAAGGGGCTGTGTTGTTAACAGGCAGCAGGACAATTTTTCTAATCAGAGATTTCTCTGGGAGGCAGTTGACCAAATATCAATTTAACAGTTCAATCTATGAAGGAGGAACATCTTGTATAATATTTTCCCCCCAGTTTTAAGATGGACATAGAATTGAGCTTGTTATCTCAGTCTGTGTAAATATTTTACAAGTAACACTGAATTAAAAGCTCATGTGGTATTTAAATAAGATGCTTCAAAAGAAACTGGTTAGTTGTGGCAGCTGCAGTGGTGTTGTGGTATCACACTAAAAACTTCAGACTTCTTATTCATGTTACAGATGTAACCTAGTCCAGTCACATCCAGCCATACTTACAGTACATAACATACAGATCAACATGCTGATTCAACTAAATAATCCCTCATAACAAACCCTGGTTGCCAGTTGATGTCAAGAGTACCAAGCTGCAGATCAACAAAAACTATTTGGTTATGTTGTCTGCCTATTTATAAAAAGTCACCCAAAGTTCCAGTTTGATTCTTTCTTGTGTTTTGTAACCTGTCTGTGTTCAGTCTGTCAATCACCCTGCTTGTCTATGTCTGTCTGCTGCCCTAATTTGTGCTCCCGCCCTTCTGGTTAGCCAGTGTTTAAATGCTGATCATTCCTGAGGCCTTTCTCATTTGTCAGTTTGTACCTCCTCAACTCCCCGCTCCTCGACTCCTCGCTTCGCATCTTAGTCCCTCCCACCCGGAGGAGTTGAGGAGGAGACGTGAGGAGAGAGGAATCGAGGAAACAGGTTTTTAAGAAATGAGATGTCCTTGCCCCGGAGCTGTCATTTTAAAGCGACGTCAGTTAAATATGACATGTTGCACAGCTGCATTATCTGTCTATGTTTTGAGCCTTCTGCTTTGATATCCGTTAAAGGAGCAGACCAGCTGTCAACACTAATACATAAAGGCTACAGACAATAATCTTCACAATCCAGAAACATGTCTGTCAACATTATGGTATGTAGAAACATCTCAAGGTTGCAATTAACACTATATTGTATGTTGAAAACAGTCACAGATTACAGTAGCCTAATCACACACTACACAGAAATCGAACAACTTTTTTTTGGCGGTGCAGCTTTTGCCTGAAAATGGGAGATAATTTCAGCCCTCAGCTTGATGAGGTGAGCGTTTCATCATCAGTCCCTTTAAGAAATGACACAGTAACATATAGCACGAGTTACAACTGTCATCACACGACTCTACTGTAGGAATGAGATGCGTAGACAACATACTGGCCACTATTATTACAACATGAAACAAAGCAGATCAGTGCTGAATGCTCTGGTTGATATTACAGACTATTAATTTGACGTCAGCAGCTGTTTGCACTGTTTTGTCACGATTATAGCAGCTGAATTGATGTGATGTGTGAATACGCTTCGACATTATCTGAATCCTCATGTGCGCATAAATCATCTACCTGTCCCCCACCAAACAAATTATTTTCTCAGATTTAGAGACCAGCACCCGCAAGGACATTTTAACCCACTTCTAGCTGTCACTGTAGCTTTCCAGGTGATTTCTTTATTGTGTGGTTGGTATGACTCTTTTCTTTAACAATTTACTTTGACGATTAGAGAGGCTGCTGTCATTTAAACGTTTCCATGCGCAGTAATGTCAAAGCAAATATTGTTGGACAAAACAAAAAAACTGCAGTAATAAACTTGACAGGACAGGCAGAGGAAACTCTCCAGAGGAAGCGGAATAAAAGTTTTAGCTTCTATAATCCATTTTTAGATGCGCTGATGGAGCTCAGGATTGATCAGGAGGATGGCTGTTTTACTTCAAACAGTTTCACTGTATGAACCTGGACTGTGTGTGAGACCTTTTTGGATGTGTAGAAGAACATATATATTAACATTAGATCCTGACTGATCCTGTTGATGTGTCGGGAGATTTAAATATGAAGTTATGTTGCTGTGCCTCGTGCGTAAATGCACACAGTGTCTCTCTTAATGGGGAGATGCTTCACCCTATTTCACCTAGCCACTATTCACAGTGTTCATTTTAAAGATCCTGCCTGCCAATCCACACATCACATTCAACAATAACAACATCAGTAATATGAAGGTGAAATGTCATTAAGGAATGTGGTTAGAACAGCACTTTATGACGTGCTACACAAACAGTGAGAGGTAAAGGTACTTTATTTGTCACATACACATATATGTAGCGAGATTCATCCTCTGCATTTAACCCATCCCTGAAGGGAGCAGTGGGCAGCGCCTGTTTCCCAACTCTCTCCTGGAGGCACCCTAGTCCTGCATGTTTTAGATCTCTCTCTGCTCCCACACAGCTGATTTAGCATTTAGCTTCAGCAGTTCATAACGAGTTGATCATTTGAATCAGCTGGGAAACACTTGCTGTAGGCCACTGTGCTGCAAAGGCAGAGAGTTTGATTTTAATAACTCCTGTATTTGAGCAAGTTTTCTGCTCATGTTCAAAACTTTCTGCTCATTCAAAATCTATCCCACATATCTGTGTTCTCTGACATGTTGAGAAAAGAGACGTAACATTATGAAAGGAACGTCATCATTTAATGGGAATTCATATTATTCTTTAAAGGTCTACCTGCCCTATACTTTACTGTGCAATAGCCTGTGTTATTGCTCTGCTGATGTGGTTGTATCCCTTTCAGACTGTCTGAAAGACATCAGAACCATTTGGGATTGTACTGGATGAGACAAGAAAGTGGAAAACCCAAACTAACTGAAAACACTTCTGATCAGGCAAAAATCTCACCCCAAATCCACTAAAATGTTAACTTCAGCACCTCTGATAAAGTGCAGCCCACAGCCACTTCAGTAGGAAGAATCCTGGAGTGGCGAGACAGCCAAAACAGAGCAAGTTCCTCAGTTTTTAAATTGTTATATTGCAAAACTTTACCAGATCCGTTACCACTCTTTCACAAACTTACTAAGATTCACAGTGCGAAAGTGGGTCCACTTGATTACTATTACGGCATACGTCACTGACGCATCAGTGGAGCAGAGTTTATTCGCGCCGCGAGTCGATGTTATCAGTTTATACATTCTCAGTTGTCTTTCACTGTGTGAGAATATTAATGTGTGGCCAAGCAAAAGCCTC